CCTGCTGACATAACTCTATCAGGTCAGGATTTATTACTCTAGAAATAGTGTGTGTGTTTATATAAATATATATGTGTGTGTGTGCATGTGTTAGTATTCTCTTCGGTTCAGTGAATGTACAGTTATTTGTACTGCAGATCAAACAGAAGAGTGTGAGTAGAAGTGACTAGTTTTAAGCAGTCTTTTCTCCAGTCATTGTTGCTGTTGAATTACAGTGAGCTTATCTTTTTCTTCCTCCAAATTTAGTCATATACAAAATAGCCTAGAGAAAGTAGGCGGCTCTCGTGTAAGTTGTGTCTATAGGCATATTTTGTGGAACTGATGATGTATATCTGAAGCTAAAAGGTTAGTAAAGTTCAAAGAATTGCTGTATGAAATGATGCAGATATTACACGGCTTTAGAAATGGGACAGATTTATCGAACACTTGCTCTTTGGGAAGAATGCTTCCCAAAAGAGACTGCTGCCAGTCTGGATTGAGTAATGCTCCACTGTGCCTGGCAATGGCAGTTCCCACGAACTGCTGATATGGTACCAAATTGCTTTACGGCTATAATCTGTAGTTATAAAGTTCCCAGCACCTGTGCTAGCAACTCTGCCTCCAAAGGAATATCAGGGCTTGCAACTTCTAAGGTTATATATATGCAATAAACATGCAAATGAAGCACAGGTAAGGATATTTCTGCTAACGTTATAGTGATAATCCAGCTTTATCTTTGGTGCTATCCCAAAGAGTTATCATGTGCTTGCTTTGTACCATTGTGCTGTTGCAGCTTTTGTCGTGCAAATTAAAGCTCGTGGGGTTAGTTAGCTTTACTGTGCACTTATTGCACTGTTTTTGCTTTGTCTTGTGGATTCACACGTGCATCACTGAAAGTGTCTCTGTGACAACTGTTACATTTAGACATTATGTTCTGCTTTGTAGCTAATATGAGTTCTATGCTAATGCCTAAAACTCTAAGATAAGTTCCCTCTGCATGCCAGTCTTCCTTTTCCCCCTTCCACTGCCCCCAAGTTATCCTTCTATTTTTGTGCAGTTGCTTGCAGTGCCCAATGGGTTTGGCCTAGATCATCCTTTCTTCTTTGCTGTAGAGATTATACCTGAACTGTCCATTTGGTAAGGATGCTTTTCCAGAGTTTCAGGGAATCCACCTTAAAACATAAAAAAAAAAAAAAAAAAAAAAGCCATATATACCTTTTTTCATTCCTTTATATCAGTGACTCTTGCTCTGTCCCCTCATGGCTGCCACACACACAGATGCTCTGTTTTGCTCTATCTGTTGCAAGATGTTGCAGCCTTTTCCTCTCACCACCACCTGAGTCTTGTGTAATCTCTGATCTGGCAATCACAGATGACAGAGTAAAAAGGCATTGATTTAAGCCAGTGATGAATGACAACCTATAACTGAGCTTTCTGGTGGAAAAGGAGGGGAAATCAAGATGATCTCTGCAGTGTTTGCTACATCACAGCTATGGCTTAGCAGATGCCTTTTCTGCTGGCAGTCTATGGTTCCGCAGACTCTGCAGTTTGTGCCTGCCCTTTTGGGGCTGTTCTTCAGCTGAGTTGTTCTAGGTCGGGTTCACTAGGTTGTAGAGAGTGATGTGGTGAAGGATTGCGCTCCTGGGGTTAAGGAGAAGAGCTTGAACCTGTTTAAATAGAGCTGCTGCAGAATTCGAAATGCAGCCGGGAGCTCGGGTGGTTTAAGCACACCTTTAATGTCCTTTTGTACAATATCAATACATATCTTTTGAGGCCAAGGTGGAAGTCATTGGTGTTTTAAGCTTCATATATACAACTTGCTGGGGGAAAGAGGACTTTGAAAATGATTTGAGCCTCTGCTGTACCCACCTGCCAGCACAGCTGACTGCCTGATCAGGTACTGGCCCTGCTGTGGCCATGAAGGCAGCTGGAGCAGGGAGCTGACCCCGCTGGAAATATAATCTCTTCTGT